GAGCGGTAAAGCATCGCTCCATTTTGAAGGGTCCGGTTGTGCCATCAGAGAGCTTTTTAGTTGGCGATGGAATCTTTCAACCATGCCATTAGCTGCCGGATGATAAGCTGTCATTTTAACATGATTTACTCCAAGAAGTTTAGTGAACTCGTTAAATAGAACGGATTGGAATTGGGGACCGCGATCTGTTGTGATTGTTGATGGTACGCCAAAGTTGGATATCCAGCGGTCGAGGAAAACTGAAGCCACTGTCTCTGCCGATGTGTCTTTAATGGGGCACGCTATGGCCCATCTTGTGAACCTATCTATTGCGGTGAGGATATGTGTGAAAGAGTTTGATGGTGGCAGAGGCCCAACTAAATCTAAATGCACGTGCTGGAAGCGTTTGTCAGGGATAGGGAACTTCCCAATTGGACTGTAGGTGTGTTTTTGTATCTTACTGCGTTGGCACTGGAGACAGTTACGTGTCCAACGTTTAACATCCGAGTTGATTTTAGGCCACACAAAACGTTCGGTAATGAGCTTTGTTGTTACTCTGATGCCTGGATGTGAAAGACCATGCAAATGTTGAAATATTTTTCGTCGGCAAGAATGTGGGACAAACGGACGATTGTTGCCTGTTGAAGTGTCGCACATGATGAATGCGTCTGAAAGGGGGATAGGTACAGGTTTGAGGTCTAAGCTAGACTTTTCTTTGCAGACTTTTAATTCTGCATCGTCTGCTTGTAATTTAGCCAAGGTTTCAAGGCTGATGTCATGATTGAGTACCATCGTATTGATATCCCTCCTAGATAGTGCGTCTGCAACAATGTTCGAGTGACTATTGATAAACCTGATGTCTGTGGTAAATTGTGAGATATAATCAAGTTGTCTTGCTTCTCGTGGGGAGTGTTTGTCATACGATGTGCTAAAAGAATGGCAAAGGGGTTTGTGATCTGTCATAATGATGAAATCACGACCCTGTAGCAAAAAGTTGAAGTGTTTTACTGCTAAATACATAGCTAAGAGTTCGCGTCCAAAAGTACTATAACGTTCCTGGGCTGGTGATAATCTTTTGGAATAAAACGCTACAGGAGTAGTCATGTTATTTACCTGTTGTTGCAATACAGCCCCGACAGCTTTCTGTGGGGCATCCGTACATAGGATCAAATGGGTGGTGGGGTCGGTATTGAGGTGTTGTAACATGGTAGCGTTGGCTATCAAGGACTTTGCTTTTTCAAATGCAATTTTAGCGTCAGGAGATAGCTTGAATGTTTGATTCTTTTCCTTCCTCGTACCTTTTTTGTCACTTTTCAGTAAATCAGTTAACGGCTGTAACACATCCGCACATCGTGGTAGGAATCGGCGGTAGAAGTTGCACGTTCCGAGAAAACGGCGTAATGACTTTATAGAGGTTGGTTCAGGGTAGTTGGTAATAGCTTCAACTATTGTTGGGAGTGGTTTGATGCCTTGAGAGTCAATGTAATGTCCTAAAAACTCTAAGGCTGGGACGGCGAATATACATTTAGAAGGATTGATAACAACGCCATGTTTCTTGAAACGTTCAAAGAGGATCTGAACATGCTGAGTGTGCTCTTCTATTGATGAGCTTGCGATCAAAACGTCGTCTATGTTGGCGAATACGAAGTCTAAACCTCTTGTAACATCGTCCATGAATCGATGGAATGTCTGGGCAGCGTTTTTTAATACGAATGGCATCCTTAGAAACTCAAACAAACCAAAAGGTGTTATTATGGCTGTTTTCTCAATGTCTTCCGGTGCCATTGGAATTTGGTGATATGCTCGCACTAGGTCGACCTTCGAAAAAATGCATTTACCGTGTAGGTTTAATGAAAAATCGTGTATATGCGGAATCGGGTACTTGTCAGGAATGGTTTGATTGTTTAATCGTCGATAGTCGCCACACGGACGCCAATCTTGGTCCCTCTTTGCTACCATGTGTAACGGCGAGGCCCAAGGGCTGTTGGACTGTCTGATAATACCAAGTTGCGTCATATGTTCGAATTCTCTTTTAGCTACTTGCAACTTGCTTGGTGGTAGTCTCCTCGCCCTGGCGCTAATAGGTGGTCCAGTGGTAGTGATATGGTGTTGCACCAGCTGTGGGTTACCTTCCTTTTGGTAATCTGATTTCGTAATGGGCTGGTATTCTGTTAGAATGTCGTTGAAGATGTTGTTCACAGGTTTCATTATTCGAACACCATGGATTTCGTTGTCGTTGGAGAATGTACCATTTACCTGTAAACGTGTATTTTCGTCGATTAATCTCTTCTTGGTCATATCTACTAACAAATTGTGGGCACTGAGGAAATCAGCTCCGAGGATGGGTCGTTTGACTTGGGCAACTATGAAAACCCATGTAAATCTTCTGCGGAGTCCGAGGTCTAAAATAAGTGATTGCTCACCATACGTTTTGATAATTGATTCATTAGCCGCTACTAAGGACAATTTAGTGTTTGTCGTATGTTGTCTGCGCGAGAGATGGAGTGGGATGATGCTGATTTCTGCTCCGTATCGACTAAAAAGTCTGAGCCAGAAATACGATCCCTGATGTGGAAGAGGCGGCTTGTAGAATTATGGTTTACTAGGATATTAGTACTGCTCTTATAATAGACCTAATCCTAAATTTGTAGATTTGTCATGATATAACTGCCTAATCTATAAGATCTTACGTGGAAGTCACACCATCGACTACACCAACTCACTGTATCGTATCAATTACCAATACATGATGTAGAACAAGGTTAGGCCAGAGAAGGAACAATATATTTGATATGAATAGAAGATATAAGGTAACATTCAGATGGACCACGCCTGCATGGTCGAACCATGCCATCCGATCAACTCCAATTCATTCAATTCATTCTCGCGCCTTCTCCATTGTTAGGTATTTATCCGCGTTAAATATTGAATATCTATTTTTGAGTAGTCTCGTGTTTAGCTTTGTGGATTGTGCGGTTATTGTCCAATGCCACTACAGGCTAACATGTTGGCCAGTAACAGCTGCCGCCATTACTGTCTGGCCACTTCGTTTTCCTGATGGTCTGGCTTGTTTGTCGTGAAGTTGCACGGTTTTGTGCAGCGACGTGCTTTCTCACCATAATTCGGATGATATCAAGGAATTCCGGCTGCCCGCTTAGGTGACCTAAGACGATGTCTGGATAGTGAGCTCCTTCTGGACGTAGATCTGGGGGGTCGAGAATGGATGGTGGAAATAGTCGCCTGCTGTGTTAACTGTGTTATTTGTTGTTGGATGTTGAGTGCGTCGCCCATGTTTTCTCTACTTGAGGATTGTATCGCGTTAACGCCGCAACTATCGGGATATATTTCTATCATCTTATCGGCCATGTCTGCTAAATCATCAAGACTGACAGAGGCTCCTGATATGCTGAGGATTTGTCTGACACTATGTGGTAACCTTTGTGACCACATCTGCTTAAGTAATGCTTCGTCTAACTTGTATGAGCCTGCTAGTTGTCTCATATGTCTAAGCAACTGTGAAGGTCTTTTGTCCCCTAACTCGCATGCAGTGAGTAGTTGATGTAAGCGTTTTTCGTCAGACTGCGAAGTACGGTGGATTACTGCGGCTTTTATTTTGTCATAGGGGTCCGTCTCTGGTACGTTATCTATCAGGTCTCCGACTTCCGTTGCTACTTCTATAGGTTGCGCACCAACGACGTGGGCATATTAAGTCGCTTGTGAACGTATACCCCTCGCCAAAAATAGTGCCTCTACTTGAGCAAACCAAATTCTAGGGTTATTGACACCGTATATTGGTAATCTTAGTTCAGAAATAGCGTTGATTGAGTTTAAAACATTATCATCTGGCTGTGATGAATGAAAGGGGTTGGTTGATGGGCTATCAATATCGATAAGTTTATTAGGAGAGTTCATAATGTCAAAAACAAAAATGGTGTGTCGTGCCAAATAATAATAATAAAAAAAAATGTAGATATATATAATAGATGTCTATAAAAAAATCGAGGCTCACCAAATAATTGTGGTGGACCAGACAGATATGAACGCAAAAAGTATAGACAATGTTACTAAAGGCCAATAGTAATATTATTATATACAGTTAATTATTACAAATACAATAAAAATTAGGGACGTTACTTAAATTGACCCAACGTTGCGTGTTCTGATTAGGTCCGGTAATGTAAATCCACAATTATAAATGCTTGATGATTCTGAGCAAGTTGGCGAACTCTATAGTGATATAATCCCACGTAGGATGTGATATATTCCAATTACAGTCTATAAATAATGATAATATTTGATTTAGACTTCAGTTAACTCAATCGCAAACGTAAATAGAACAAGGGATGCGTGAGTAGTAATGTATTCCTGAACAACCAAAGGTGTGTCACGCTATGTAAGAAGCACAACGGAAAGTGTGTTCAAGGTCATTGACTAAAACAATACGTACAGTCATTTAATGATGAATGTACATACAGTGAAAAATTGACAAACAAATACAAATAATATTGAAAACTATTTACAAAATAAGGCTGTCAGGTCTATCTCCACAGACCTCTTTACTTTGTCCTAGAGCGAAATTAAGATATGGTCTGATTTCTATGTAATGAATACTAAGAAGTGATTTTGGACCTAACATCCTCTTTTTCTTCCCACTAGATCGGGACGTTTCAGAGGACATAACAGGCGAGTAGGAGAGTCAAGAACGGACAAAATTCCTGTGGCATACAGGTTTTCACACTGAGTCATGAATTCATGGAACCTGTTACCTGAATCAGAGTTGTCCGCAACTTCAAGTGACTCATTCAACCGAAGAATGAACACTCACGAAAATACTACAAATTGAATAACATAGGCCGTAGTCCTTCTGTCCTTACTACACAAATCGTAACCTGAAACAAAACATCGAGGGAAAACTTTAACCTGTTCCAGAACAAGCTGACAAGAAAACTGTTTGTTTGAATATAAACTCTTTGTTCCTTCTGAAGGCGTGATTTCCAGATTATGGGTTTTCTTTTTCAAAAAGAAAACCGATGTTGTTTTATTAAACAGGCTGGGTTTCCCGCGCTTTCGTACTGTCCTAGTGTGATGTCGTCAAGGCATAGGATTGATATCGGTGAATCTAGACCCAGACGGTCAAGGTAATTACTGAAAACGTCTTAGGATTTTAAATCTAATTGAGTTATGCTGTATTCGTTTCATACTACATTTATGAATTGACCCTCAGATCAATAGTCATTCACCAAATTTGTCGTAACGTGTGACTACAAATAGATGTAGCCCCATATTTTTCATGCACTCCGTCCCATGTTTCTCGTCCAATCTTTTGCACGGTTAATTCTGCAAAGTTGCTAGTCGGGGTCGTTTGGAGTAATTTGGGCTAGTTATTTCGAAGCGATTATTCCGGCTGCCTACACTCACTGGACAGGTTAAACGAGTTATAGGGATATAAGTACGGTGAATGAGTAGCTGTGGTAAGACTACACTGTCTATTAACGTAATTTCAAAAGTACGACTGCGAATGAAAACAGAAAATCTTGTGTAAAATAATAGAGTATGATAACTCAGTTTCCCAAACTGAAACTGAATCTGATGGCACTGACCAGTTTTTAAGTTCTGTTACATAACATTTTAAATTGTAGGCATCACTGGAAATGTCAGTCTCACATTGGTATTTTCCTTTGAGACTGGCGACCCAATGCTTGGTAACCCTATGGCAATGATAAACGGACTTGAAATCCATCGCCATCATACAGGGATTAGAGTCCTGAAGGTTGGCACTTAATTATCCTCGTTTGGTGTTAAACGTAAAATCACTATTGTCATATGAAAGGATCACTTTATCTTGGAGTAGGTACACGAGATCCTCCAACTTAACACCATCGAACCCTGTGTTTAGTATATCTGTATATGATTTTCAACCCAGATAAAAGTCGTCAGTTTTTACTAAAGCCGATGACCATCTGGAAATATAAAATTTTTATTAGGTAATCATGTAGAAATATTTAATTTGTTGGTGATGGTCGTTCAATGGTTAAAGAATCATGTTCCTAATTAGTAGCTTTGGGTTCAAATTCGTCCTATCTATTCTGGCTTGTGCAACTGAATGGTATCATTAAGATAAAGATGTATCTCAGAGCTGAGCACATGACATACTTAGTAAATGATTAATTGATAGTTTAATACTATGGACCATGTCTGATTTCTGCCATCATGTTTGAGGATCAGCAAAAAAATTTATAACGCTGCCACGTGTTAGAAACCTAAAGTTTTGCTCATTGTCTGGACTCTAGATGGGCGATAAGTCTGAGGTGTTGAACATGTAACATGATATGCAATATTAAGTTCTTGTCGTTCATGAGGCTGATTTCGAAAATAAGTTTCATGAACAATGAGTAGATTTAAAACATCTCTTATCAAGGTTTTTTTGTTTAGGGTTACATTTTGCTTGTTTTTTATGTACTTAAACTACACAGCACCATCTACTCTTCAAGCAGTCTGGTAAATCTTTGTCCTTTGCAGCGAGCAAAGCCTTGATTCAAGTGCACTTTTCATTAGATCAGAAAGTAAACTAGTTTCCTCTGTCGTACTTAGTTAAGTAATTTTATAACCCAGTTCATAATTGTATCTTGGTGTCAATATTCATATTTGGTAGTTTTTTGTAAAGAATGTGATTTAGTTTCTCCGTTTTTAATGCGCTCAACACTACATCAATAAGATCTTATTTGTGGTTGGGGTTTTTCGTTCATTATGTTAGTAATCATCGTTTACAATGACTACTTAGCCCTTTGGTAGTTTTTCAGCAAATGTATTCACTATAAATTTCTCGCATCCTTGTATTGAAGACGAATAGGCTTCTGAATATTCTTGAATTCAGTAAACAGTTTGCACAAGCAATGTAGCGGAGGTATCAAGTTTACTTGTTTCGCTTTTTGTTAGTACCTGTCTCATCGACATATTCTCATCTTATTTCGCATTATTACTGTTTTATTGTCACAGGTTTTCTGATGGACCGGATAATCATGCACGTGATCGCTCACGCTCCCCAGATAATCAGGTCAAACTTAAACAGAATGCTTCAAATAAGTCTCCATTCACAGCACAAACAAATCCTTACAACGGTCAGTTTCGTCTTTCTTGAAATATGTTAATACGATAGTTGACAGCGTTGATCTGATATTGTGTTTAGTGGCCATTTTTGTTAATTCAATGGTGCTTGTACTTTGTAGAACTCTGGTGATGACATGAAGCTTGGAAATGTAGTTTATAAAGACCACTCATTTCCTGGTTATATTAGGTTGACTCTTTAACTTGATCAGTTCCCCTTTTATTAAATTTTACTGAAATGCCTTCAGTTATATATGACGATTATCGTGCAAGTCTCATATAAGAAGTCTTCAATCTTCGAAATATGTCCGACTGGAAGTCGGTGACTTTGCTTTACTGGCCTTAGCTTTTCAAGCCTGGTTCTATCCTAGCCTTCACTGTGCCCCCGAATACCCTGGTACGGTCGAGAGTGAGGAGAGCCAGCTCTCCCTCTCGAAATGTTCTCATATGGCCACGTGCATACAACCACTGCCAGGGAAGTCCTACTCACTGCCTTCTTGTGGCGGGGGTGTTGTTTACGAAATCGAGAGGACGAAAAGCGAATGTTCGGCGCTTTAAATGGGTTGGTGGACATGGAAAGTCCACCTAGGGGAGTTGGAAAACCCTGGTTCCAAACCAATGGTGCACATGGGCTCTAGGATCCTGAAGGAACAAATGGCGTATGAACTAATCGTTGGTCACCGACTACCATGGGACTGCATTTCCTGGCGTTGCTCCACTGCCTTGTGGATCAGACCTTCAGGTCGAAGGCTTCGAGTGTGGCCCCCTAAAGAACCACCTACTCCGGTTTGGGCACCCGGGAAGTATCACAGCCCTCACACATATCAAATGAGGTTTGTGTGGCGCATATGTATTTGGTGCCTCCTTGTACCAATATCTATGTGTTAAAATAAATAAATAATAATAAGCTTTCACTGCATGTCGCGGTAGCTAGTGAGTGGGCGTGCTCAACATCCAGCTACTTCAGATGAAGGTCAAAACGTTCTAGTGGTCTACCACATCTACCTAATATTTCACTACCAACGTCACTCCACAGCTCTACTACACTCAAGGAGTATTTTATGGAGATCCATAGTGAGATGTTAGGAAACTACTGTTCTAAGTTTTAATGAATGATGGTGCACATTTCGCAGTCATTTATTTAAACATAAACATTGGTACAAGGAGGCACCGAATACATATGCGCCACACAAATTTCATTCGATATGTGTGAGGGCTGTGATACTGCCCGGGTGCCTACACCGAAGCAGGTGGTTTTCTTAGAGGGGCCACTCCTCGAGCCTTCGACCTGAAGGTCTGATCCACAAGGCAGTGGAGCAACGTAAGGAGATGCAATCCCGTGGTGGCCGGTGATCAACAGTAGGTTCATACTCCATTTGTTCCCGCAGGATACTGGGGCCCATGTGCACCATTGGTTTGGAATCACGGTTTTTCAACTCCCCTAGGTAGATCCTCCATATCTACCAACCCGGTTAAAGCGCCGAACATTCGCTTTTCGTCCTCTCGATTTCGTAAACAACACCCCCGCCACAAGAAGGCAGTGAGTAGGACTTCCCTGGCAGTGGTTGTATGCACGTGGCCATATGAGAGCATTTCAAGAGGGAGAGCTGGCTCTCCTTACTCTCGGTTGTCCCGGGGCAGTCGTTAAAGTAGTTAAAAAGCTGTTCAATGGTTGGTTGGCGATAATACGATGTGGCAGGTCCATTACAAGTCGCGAGACTAAATTGTCGACGTAGATCGTCAAATGAATTGTTATCAAAGTACAGTACAACTCAACAGAAGTTTTCGAGTAAAATAACATGCTTACAAACAAAATATTTGAGGTATATAATCGATAAGCGATTTGTGTTGTGGGCTTTATAGCTTACTCTTTTTGCAATAAAATTTGAACCTGACTCAGGATTTCTTGTGCTTTCTTATAAATTGGGACGATAAGCGATCAAAATCAGTCAAATGGAATTGCGTTTATCTCAGTCTGTTTGTTGATCTTAAACTGTCGTCCTATGTTAATTAGCCAGATTGTAAATCCCTTCTAATAATGGATAAAGGGTCACTAATAGTTCGTTTTTTTAAACTTGTTCCTACTTATAACCAGGCACTTCCATTATAAATTACATTTGATCTGCATTTATAAGACTGGCTTTTGTAGGTTATCTTTCCCTTATTGGGACTTAGTGTTTCGAATATGATGGCTACATTGAAGGTGTTAGAAATAATTTTGAGTCTGTTTCTTTAGCGGATAAGAATTTAGAGAAATACTTTATGCTTGCAAGTTATGCCAATTGTGCATTTCGAGTTCACAGCGTTTAGAAATACATGTTTCCACAAGATAACTAATGCTACGCCCCTAAAGGCAAATTTATACTTAGAAGCTAAGGTCCTAACTATCATTTACTGCTGACATCGTTACGGGTACTCAGGAAAAAATGGATTAACGGAAATGTTTATATTGATTTGAATTATATCTTATTTTTTCATGTTGTCTTTTTATGTTATGATTCAGTTTATGTATACAGTTGACCAGTATGAATTGTGTATTAATGGCGAAAATACTAAATACTGTCCATCGAATTGTTCTAATCTGTATCTTATTTCAGGCAAATCGTTTAGTGCCAAATACTTCGAACTTCTGAGGAAGCGTATCAAATTACCTGTTTGGGAATACAAGGAGAATTTTTTTCAGACGTTATCGGAGAACCAAGTCACTGTTTTAGTTGGTGAAACAGGTTCTGGAAAAACGACCCAAATTCCTCAGTGGTGCCTGGAATGGGTAACTGGACGGTATCCTACCAAAAAGGCAGTGGCCTGCACTCAACCTAGACGGGTAGCAGCTATGTCTGTTGCTCAGCGTGTTTCCGAGGAAATGGATGTTGAACTTGGTCAAGAAGTAGGATACAGTATTCGATTCGAGGATTGCACGTCCTCAAGGACTGTGATGAAGTAACTTTTAGACTTTTCCATAATTGCTTTAGATACATGACTGATGGTATGCTTTTACGTGAAGGCATGTCTGATCCTTTGCTCGAGGCATACGGTGTTATTCTCTTGGATGAAGCCCATGAAAGAACTTTGGCTACTGATATTTTAATGGGTCTACTTAAAGAAATCACAAAGCAAAGATTAGATTTAAAAATAGTTGTCATGAGTGCGACTTTGGATGCTGGAAAATTCCAAGTTAGTACATAGTTCTTATCCGTTTGATGAATAGATCTTAAAAGTATTTGTTTAGTTAAATGTATCCTAGTTGTATCACATTTTATTTGGAGTTGGATGAAGCCATCTACTTCTTCCCTTTTCGAAATGACCCAGGATTACTTTCACAAAGCACCTCTTATGACCGTGCCCGGTAGAACTCATCCAGTGGAGATATTTTATACTCCAGAACCAGAACGTGATTATCTCGAAGCGGCTATCCGTACTGTAATCCAGATTCATATGTGCGAAGAGATCGAGGGTGACATATTACTGTTTCTGACGGGACAAGAGGAGATTGAAGAAGCATGCAAACGTATCCAGAGAGAAGTAGATGGGTTGGGCCCGGACGTTGGTGAACTCCGTTGCATTCCTCTCTACTCTACCCTTCCACCAAATCTTCAACAAAGAATTTTTGAATCTCCTCCTCCAAAACGTGCAAATGGGGCTGTTGGTCGAAAGGTTAGAACTGTTTTCGAAATACAATTCTGTTTTTTTTTCATTATATGGTTTAGTCTATCGAGATTGCACACCTGAATAATCTTTGTTTAACCGTTACTTTGAATGGCATTTTCTTGAGTATCTATCTTGTAAGCCACACATGTAGTTCATTGTTTCCTGCATTCTTTTCACAAATTAGGTCAGAAAAATAATTAACTTTCAAATTTTTGTACTCCCGTCGTTATTGTCTTCGTATTTTTGACTGCTAAATTCCGTACTAAAATGACTCTGTCCTGTCAAAGATTACCGAGTTTCTGTTCTCTTAGCATGAGCTTTGTCATACATTCCAAATTAACACATAGTACTTAAAAAAATTTAAAAATTGTAAGGATAGCAAACATAAATTGATCAGGTGGAAAGGTAGCAGAAAATAACAACACTTCTAAAAGTATTTTATTTGTATAAGGATGTTGCTTGAAGTGTAAAGTAAGTACTCTAAACTTTTTTTGAAATAGAAATAACTGATACTTGTTACGTAAATTATAACAGTTGTAAGGCGGCTATTAATGTTATCCGACTACCCAACCAAAAATTCATCCGGCAAGTTTCAAGTCACAGATCTACTTATCGAAAGCCAAATGTTTTAACTAAACCTTGCTTAGATTTTATGAGTTTATCTGATTCGAAACCCCAAATATGCGTTTGCGTTGATGGTTGATCTTAATTCGTACTAATTACCCTTCCACGGTGTGGGCAGTCGGGAAGTGATATCAGCCCTCATACCCTTAACAGCACACGAGGCCAAGTCGGTCACATTCAAATCCCTCCTACACCTCTAAATAAATCTCTTATCTCCACGACTAACTCTTCTCACGTCCCTTTATCACCTCGCACCGCTAGGGTAAACTATTCGACTACGCGGAACGTTATTCCTGGTCTCCTGAAACCACGCTCTAAACTACACGTAGGAGCTTTCAACGTCCGAACACTGCCAAATAGAACAGCAGGCTTCCTCAGCTAGGACTTTAGAATCTCGCGCCATTGGTGTGTGCTGCGTCTCGGAAACGCACATACAGGAGCCGAGTAGTGTCATTCATTTGACCTCACCATGTCAAAGTAACGAACCAACTCGATTTACGCTTCGTGTATCTGGAAGTCCTGATGCTGCTTCCGGCGGCTTAGCTGGTGTGGATACTAATATCAAGTGACTAGCGATTCAAGTGAAGCTTATCCAAGTGTTTATCAGCCATCGTGACACTTAATCACAATTGGTTGGTGAGAAAGACTATTAGAAGACGTCATTATTAGAATTCAAAAATAGTACTCCAAACGAATCAAACTAGGTAAACTTCAGTATTGATTACAGGCTAACTCGGTTTTTCTTTTATTCCTTCTATTTTGAAAAAAAATGATGTAACTCGAGAACTGAATACAGGCCTGTGTACTTTGGTTTAAGGTTTGTCCTAACCAAAGTAGATAAAGTGAGTTTTACATGATCGTGTCGGAACCGTTAACCCAAAGTTGGGTGTTAGAAACGAAGTTTAGTGACGACTTGGATCAAGTTAAATGTAATAAGTGCTGTAATGAGGTGGTAGCTCACTACTCTGCAGATAGGATTTTAATATATCTCTTTTATTTTTAGATGATTCCACTTACAGTAGCCATCCTGTTAGAACAATTTTTGGTGGAGTGCATTTTGTATTTTAACCTTATTATTGTGATTTGTGTACCTAAGAATAACTTATTCTCAGTTACGTGACTAACATATTAGGTATATTTTATCTTTTGCCTTTAGCATACAGCCCATAAAAAGTGCAACTCGGATTGCTATGAACAATCTGAATGGTATTCCATGAAATACAATCTACGATAAATTTTGCCGTATGAAGTTTGACTTCACCTAGTTACTACAGTTAATAGATAGTTACAAAAAACAATAAATTATTTTGAAAGTGAACCGAAATTGTTGTAGGCAAAGTAAAGCTTTATGCCATTCAATCACATATATCCAATTAGCTTATTTGGACGACTGACATATCCTAATATTATCACCATAATTATTGTCACGATGTGCCATTTCACAGTATTGGATTCCTTAGAAATGGGTGTTTCTGCACTCATAGGTGGTATAAAGATACAACATACCTAATATTACTACGGAGAAAATGTATTTATTGATGATGTTTACTGTTGTTTTAAATTTGTTTTGATTTTTCACTTAACAGAACCAGATATTTTACACTTCAAACAAAATCCCCTCTTATAATATCTATTGTTTATGAAAAAAGGTTTCTGAGTCGGTATCTATACACTGAACTTAAGGTTTTATATTTTGAGGATTCGACACTGGGTGTTATAAGAGCATGTTATATGGGTGGTTTATTTTTAATAATCAGAAGTGTAATACAATCGTTCCTTGGGCTTATCAACTATATTGTTCTGTAGTGTAAATGATTAAAATTTCTGAATCGACGTAAGAGACGACTGTAGACAGTTTTTCATTCAAAAAATAGGTTTATCATAGTTAACCTATCTGATATAACATGGATATACTAGTACTACTTTCCAGTGTTTCTAATATATTCACCTTGTCGATCTTCCTCATAGGTTGTAGTGTCCACAAATATTGCAGAGACATCCCTCACAATTGATGGAGTGGTTTTCGTTATTGACCCAGGTTTCGCAAAGCAGAAAGTCTACAATCCTCGTATTCGTGTTGAATCTCTCTTAGTCACTGCTATCAGCAAAGCTTCTGCACAACAACGTGCCGGGAGGGCCGGGCGTACAAGACCTGGAAAATGTTTTAGATTGTATACAGAAAAGGCATATACAAATGAGATGCAAGAGAACACATATCCAGAAATTCTTCGGTCAAACCTGGGTACTGTTGTCCTCCAGTTGAAAAAACTGGGAATTGATGATTTGGTGCATTTTGACTTTATGGATCCTCCCGGTGGGTATTAAGTGTGAATTCATGTTTTGGAACTGCTAATGCTTTTGAATTTATCTAACTTGTTTCTATTTGCCTAATATTTGTGCCGTTTCTTGTAGAAACAATTCTTTGATTGTGTGGGCTCAACTTACCAATCTTCATGCCATTTTTATATTAATACCGTCCCAACATTCGATACTAAAAAGATAAAACTTTTCATGTTATACAATAAACTAATTATTTTTCTTTAGTACTACGTGCTTACAATTCCCATGCTTAGTTAATCTTTTCTAAGTCCATACCAAACTTTTAAAGTAACTGTTTCCAAGTCACATTGATAAATTATCCAACAGTCTGATGACGGTCTATATTTTGCGCTTAGGTTAGCTAATATTTTAGCAACCATCTGGGAGTTGGATGTAATCACGTCCGCCTGATTGCAATCACTGACCCAATATATAAAACACAGAAGTGCTTATCAGCACCCGACTATGATAGTTTTTATTGACCTAAAAGCAGTATTGTACTCTGTAGACCAAGAGGTTCTGTGTCAGTGTCCGTCATGAAAAGGCGTATCTGAGAAGTACCTAAACCCTGTGAAGGCTCTTTACTCAAACACTACTAGTCGAGTCAGAGCTTATGGCGAACTGTCATCTGCTTTTGCAACCTCAAGTGGTGTCCGTCAAGGCTGTCCACTTTCTCCATTTCTGTTTAATTTCATCATAGACGTACTGTTGGAAATAACGTTCTCGTCGACTGAATTTTCGGGAATTGATCTCCTTCCAGGAGGTCTACCTGTCAACTTAGAATACGCAGATGATATAGTCCTGTTTGGTGAAGATGCTGATAAAATGCAATGTTTTGGTAGCACCGAGCAACAATGCCAGAATGTTTGGAATGCGCTTCTCTCCCTCTAAATGCAAGTTGTTGCTTCAGGACTGGTCTGCGCCAACACCTGAACTAAGTATAGGGAGTGAAGTGGTCGAACGCATATAGGATACTCGTAAGTTACTAGTATTTGATCACAGATATCTTACAAATATTTCTCGCATCTGCTGCGATCACCGGCGAAGTAATAATGGAGTTGGACGCATGGTATTAGGGAATGATGGTAAATCAGTTCATGAGGTTGTAAATCTTCATCGACTGAGATGGTTGTGTCGCGTGTTACGTATGACTAAAAACCGAATACCATAATGCTGACTCGTGTTGGAGACGGTTGGAAGAAAGTTAGTGTTACAACTTGTGACCGCCGATTAGAGAGCAGTGACTTATCGATCGGAACAATGACGCGTATGAGCAGCCTAGAGTTCTGATTGGTCCTGCTTTCCGCCTAGCCCAGCCAGTTAAGTCCAGAAAATAAGTCTCAGCCTCTGCGATATGAATCATTTATTTCAAACATACCCGGTATATATATCAACCAGACAGACCACAACGTACCAGTAAATAGAAAATAACATTTGTATAATATTTGGCCAGCAGGAAAATGGCACGTGAAATAAATATTGGTCAGTAAGGAAACGACACGTGAAATAAAAATTGACCAATAGGAAAATGATGCAATTTCAAGTCCAAGGATAGCATTAGACTTAACAGGATAATTTTTGGGATATTTTTCTGAATATCCCAACAGTTGGGGGCGGCCAAACCAAAACGTGGCATCAGTGCTTTAAGTCACCAACTTCTACTCTTAACCATGTTTTATATGCAGACTACCTGGTTGAGGTCCGCACGACTCTTGTAACCAATGGTTGGAGACTCTGGGTGACATAGCTCAGAATCGATCACACTGGTGTAGGTGTATTCACACTTTGTCTTCCCTTAAACTATGAGAATAAAATTGCTCTTTACCTTTATTTCTACGAACTAATTCTCTCTTCGTCTATTATACGCTTATACGCAATCTTTTATATATTAATACCATTGAAGTAACTACTTCAATGAATTTGATGTTCATCTTGTGCTAATGAAGTATGGCAACTTGGACTGATGCATATATGTACTTGGTCAGTCAGTCAGTAACAACGTAGAACTTCGTACGTACGTACATCAGTTCGAGTTGCCACACCACATTAGCACAGAGATGCAGTTGTCGATTCAAATCCCGTAGTGGTAGAGGTAGTAAGAGTATAAGCAGTAATCGGGAAGATTAGGGTTTGGAGATGTTATTTAAAGAGTATAATCCAGTGAAATAAATTTGGAAAGAGAAAAAAGGGACATGAAGAATTCAGAAGATTAGAATTTGGGAGAACACAGAGAGTGGATGCACCTGCGCCATTGCAAACGATTTTGAGCCATGTCATTCAGGGTCTCTAACCATCGGTTGCTATCATCTCGCGGTCCCCAACCAGGTAGTCTACACCTACCAACATGACTCAGTCCACTTGTCAGTGACTTCATGGACTTGTGCCATGTTTTGGTTTGGCCGCCCCTAGCTTTCTTCCAACCTACTCCTATACCACTGAACATAGCACGTCGAGGCAGTCGGTCGTTGGGCATACGTAACACGTGTCCCAGCCATCTCAACTGATGAAGTTTCACTACTTCATCAATTGATTTGCCATCCTTACCTAGTACCCGTTTCCTAACAACTGCGTTACTTACTCGATGGTCCCATGATATACGAGCAATTTTCGAAGACACCTATGATCAAATACTAGTAACCTACGGATATCCTCTACTCTTACCGGCCATGTTTCACTGCCATAAAGTAGGACGGAACGAACTGCTGCGCAGTAAACCGTCCTTTGGTTGATAGACGGATATCTCGCCTACGCCATAAATGACGCAAGTTGGCAAAAGCTAGTCGAGCCTTCTGTATCCGTGCTGAGATTTCGTCACACACTAAACCACAAGGGCTGATGAGACTTCCAAGATAAGTGAAGCGGTCGACACTCAACTACTTCACTCCCTATCACTAGTTCGGGTGTCGATGTAACCCAATCCTGAAGCAACATTTTGCATTTCGAGGGGGAGAATCGCATCCCGAACATGCTTGCATTGTTGCTTAGAGTGGTCAGAAGACTCTGCATTTTGTCAGCGTCTTCACCAAATAAAACTATGTCATCAGCATATTCTAAGTCAACAAGTGAACCTCCCGGTAGAAGTTCAACCCCTGGAAATTTAGATGAGGAGAGTGTTATCTCTAAAAGTACGTCGACAAAGTTGAACAAGAATGGGGAGAGTGGACAGCCCTGACGAACACCACTTGAGGTAATCAATTCTGATGACAGTTCGCCATAAGCTCTCACTCTACCAGTTGTGTTCGAGTAGAGAGCCTTTATAAGGTTAATGTACTTCTTTGGTACTCCTTTCAGTGACAAACACTGCCATAGAACCTCACGATCAACAGAGTCGAATGCCGCCTTAAGGTCGAGAAATACTACCATTGTGGGGCGTCTGAATGTGTGTCTGTGTTCTAGAACCTGACGTAGTGTGAATATCTGATCTATACAACCACGTCCAGGTCGAAAACCGCCTGGTTTTCTCTAATCTGCTCTTCACGAGCTTTGTTAGGCGTCGAAGTATTATTGAAGCTAATATTTTAGACACTATATTAGTCAAACTGATTCCTCTGTGATTGTCACAAGAGGACTTTTGTCCTTTCTTATAGACTGGCACAATCAGTGATTGAGACCAGTCAGATGGGATTACGTCCAGTTCCCAAATTCTACCTAAGACCTCAGTTAATCTCATTGCTAATACTGGACCACCATCCTTAAAAATCTCAGGAGTAAACCTGTCAGGGCCTGCTGCTCTCCCTCGTTTCAGATTTCCTATGGCTTTTTCAACTTCGTAAAGAGCGGAGGACCTACATTAACTTGACTAGAGATCGTGGGAAACCGAAGTGTGGCTGAAGGCCAGTTGAACTGATCCCTAAAGTGTTCTGCCCATCGATCCAATCTCCTGGATTGAGAATGAATAATATGTCCATCTTTCTCTGAGATTGTTTCGCTAACGGTCGGGTTCCTAATTCCGGTTTCCTTAACGAGTCTGAACAATTGTCTGCTATTACCTATTGCCGCTGCCTTTTCCATCTCTCTTGCTTTCGCTACCCACCACTGTTCGCGATCATTGCGTAGACTTCTTGTCAGCTTGCGCTTAAGCTGACTCCGCTCTTCATTATGTTCAGAGCCAGGTGGAATGAGTTTCCGAGCATCTATCAGTGCGATAGATGCTGCTGAGATCCAGTGTTGCTCCCTAACCTTCTGGTTTACCTTACTAGCAGATATCACTGCTGTTTCCACAGCTTTTCGGATATCATTCCATGCTGCATCGGGGTGGGCATCACATACATGGCTGCCTAACTGTTTTCCTAGTTGTTCCTGAAATATACTCTTAGCTTGACTATCATTAAGTAGGCCCTAAGAGGTTTCCTTGCAGCGTCTTTCCTACGTCCAGTAAGACGCAAGCAAATACGCGCTCGCACTAGAGCATGATCTGAATCTAGGCATGTGCTCCAGAATGAGCGACAGTCTTCTATCGAGCCCCTCCAACGTTGGGACGAATTAGGGCGTCGCCATGTTAAAAGATGTTTTTCCTTATGCTTGAAGTTAGTATTTGCAAGGAACAAGCGGTTATCTGAGCATAGCTGCAACAGACGGTCGCTATTATCTGTTCTTTGAACTACGACACCATAAGATCCACCTACGTGTCTTTCCCTTTCGCTTAGTTTACCTACTTGAGCATTAAAGTCACCAGCCACTATTACTACATCAGAGCGCCTAGCTTTTCTGAGAAGGCCGGAAAGCTTTCTGTAAAACTCATCATTTACATCATCTGAGCTGCAGTCAGTGGGAAAATAGGCAGAGTCGACGAAGAGGCAACGACGAGTGTCCCTATCTTTTCGATTCCTTATTGTTCCGTTTAGTCGGACAGCGCACAAACGACTGTCTACAGGGATCCAGTCTAAGATGGCTAGTTCTGCCCTAGGACTCAATGCTATACCTACACCAGCTAGGCCACCGGAAGCAGCATCAGGACTTCCAGATACACGAAGCGTAAATCGAGTTGGTTCGTTACTTTGACATGGTGAGGTCAAATGAATGACACTACTCGGCTCCTGTATGTGCGTTTCCGAGACGCAGCACACACCAATGGCGCGAGATTCTAAAGTCCTAGCTGAGGAAGCCTGCTGTTCTATTTGGCAGTGTTCGGACGTTGAAAGCTCCTACGTGTAGTTTAGAGCGTGGTTTCAGGAGACCAGGAATAACGTTCCGCGTAGTCGAATAGTTTACCCTAGCGGTGCGAGGTGATAAAGGGACGTGAGAAGAGTTAGTCGTGGAGATAAGAGATTTATTTAGAGGTGTAGGAGGGATTTGAATGTGACCGACTTGGCCTCGTGTGCTGTTAAGGGTATGAGGGCTGATATCACTTCCCGACTGCACACACCGTGGAATGAATCCGGTGTCCATCTTGTGTTAATGAGGTATGGCAACTTGGACCGATGCATAAATGTGCCTGGTCCTACGTTGTAGCTGACTAACTGACTGACACCGTGGAAGGGTATTTCTTAAGGAACCTGAAAAGGAATTTGGATTAATGTTGGTCTTAACGATCTGGGAGCGTAACTGCAGAGCCCGAGGGACAACTGCTTGAGGCCGGTCATGCACGGTCTTTTCGTGGGAGCTTTTTAATGTGTTAACTCCGTTCTTCATAGGGCCTTACCGCCGGAGACGGAAATCCGTGAGGTAGGGTGAGGTGTGGCATTTTTAGGATCGACCTTTTCTAATCCCTTCCTTCCTTGTGAGAAGGCAGCATCGCTGCAGATGCTGGTTGTCCATGGGAAACACCTTACTGCTGTCACACCCCTCTACAGTCAGCAGTCCGACTTCGCCCTCAGACCTTGAGTTGCTGCTTTTAGTCTTACCGTTCTCCAATCGACCTGCCTGGCATAGTAAAGCCTACAAGACCATATGTTCTAGCCAATATAGCTCGGTTGAGTCATCACGATATGCAACCCCGACCACCGCGTCAAGGTAGCAGCTACGGTCGGGATGTACTTGGTCATACGTTGTAGATGATTGGCTGAACGAGTCTGACACATACCCGATGTCAATTTAATGGAATGATGTGCCCTTTTTTTCATTTCTTTTTTTCAAAACCATGTTATGAATAACTAATATTTTGTTTGGGCTCATATTAGTGGGAAATTAGCATGCACTGCTATGTTTTTTATGCATAGGCTGCTCAGGACATTCATTCATATTGGCGTTTGAATTACACCTTAATGAATCCGTATGAATTTCATTTTTGAAGTCAAATAGAAATATATTCGGTAAATATTTGTGGGAAATGTTTTGTCTCAAAATTTCGGTAAAATGAATCAATTTTAGTAATTAGTGAAGGATTGCGAGTGTAATTAAAGTGGGGATAAAAGTTGTAACTTGTACATCATTCGACCATTTAAAATGTCACTTATTAACACTACCCTAAATGAACCTTCCGACTCGGATTTATGCAAATATTCGTTTCTAGAATCTATTTTTAGTAACACTTCTCAGTCTAGTATTGTAATATACGTAGTCTTAAATTCTGCATATTTTACGATACCTAGAAGGTAGATTTTGCAGTACTAAGGTTTACCATTTCAAAATCTTCGGTTTTATCCGCGTTATAGGAGTTCGCTAATGAAATTGCTCTTTTCACTTAGTATTTAGAAGCTTCAGTATGAATAACAGTTGTGAAACAGAAAGACTCAGCTTTTTTCTCTCACTAATTTAATCACCATTTCACCAAAATTTTACGATGCCCGTTTTCTTATCATGAGTTTTTGTTGAATGTAATAGCTCCGGAAACTCTGATGCGTGCTCTAGAGTTATTGAATTATTTGGCAGCCCTTGATGATGATGGTAACCTAACCGATCTAGGAAGTATGATGGCTGAGTTCCCACTTGATCCCCAATTAGCCAAAATGGTTATCGCCTCTTGCGATTACAACTGTTCAAATGAAATCCTGAGTATCACTTCAATGTTATCAGGCAAGTTCAATTGTTTCTTTGTTTCATTATTTTTAGCTAATATGTGATAGACCTTTTCACTAATTTGACCGATTCCTCGTCTGATAATGTCTATAATATATGGAACTGTTCCTATTTATTTCAGTACCTCAATGCTTCGTACGCCCTGCCGACTCCAAGAAAACTGCAGACGAAGCCAAAATGCGTTTTGCTCACATTGATGGTGACCATTTGACTATGTTAAATGTATATCATGCCTTCAAACAAAGTAAGTTAAAAAACCATTTCTTGAAACTGATTTTCCATTTCATCCAGAAAAACAATTGCCATTCGCCCAAACCCGATTTCTGAGAATTAATATCCCAATTTATATTTGAAAATGTGGCGAGACTATAATTTATGGGCGAACCAATCACGTATAAGATAACAGGTCTCGGATTTTGGCTCGGAATTCATTTGGCTAAATAGAGTTTAGGCATAGCTGATGTTATTTCGTGATGAAAACCCTAAATCTAGTTCCTAACCTTAATCATCAACTGTAAATCATAATTCTAATTCCTCACATTTTTATAACTCTCATTTGGTATTGGTTATTAGGTGGACACTCTCAAGGTCAGTCTAGCGTCTCTCAAAGGTCGTCCATAAATTATAGTCTCACCAGAAATGTAACTGCAATGTTATTTTATGACCCTTGCTAAGTTGACGGGTTTTATCGAAGATATTAGGTAATGAGAAAAATAAATTCCGAGCTTATCTGATGTGTAATGACATTATTTCTTATGTATATATATTACCTATGTTTATTTTGATTGATAGTTTCACATCTCCAGTTGATTTAAAAACCTATCCAAGTTAACATTATGTATTAGTCGTTTTAACACTAACAATTTTATATTACTAATAATCAGTAGATTATATGCTATAAGATATCGATCTCCTCAAACAAACACGCCAAAAGAGGTGAAGACAGCCCATCAGACCAAACCAGTCAACAAAAATGGGGACACTGGCCAATATGCTTTCCCGAATCCAACAGTCCTTGTCATGGAATCATTGGCATTCAATGTCTTGCGGGCTAGGAATGAGACAATTTAAGTCCTGGCGAGAGGTCTCATCCTACATTGTGCGGTGATTCCCATAACCCAGCGTTCTTACGATCGGTCGTCTTAGCGGACGTTTATGGGCCTATGTCGTGACAGTACCAGTACCAAACTAAACATACCGTCTATCGAATCACTTACTTTCATGAGTCTAACGGTCGAAATTCCTACTACGTGTTAAGGTCTTGAAACTTCAATAAGTATCTAGTGAAGACACTAGTTCGATCATAGGTGTCTTCTAAGCATGGTTCGTGTATTTTGGGATTACCGAGTAAGCAATGCCGGGATTAGGGATAAAGTACTAGGTAAAGATGGTAAATCTTTGATAAGTTAACAAATCTTCATTAACTGAGGTGGTTGGGAACATGTGTTATGTATCCCCAACCACTGCCTTTCTCGACGAGCGATGTTGTCTGGTGTTGATTGGAAAATATTGGGGCGGCCAAACGAAAACATGGGATCAGTCCATGAAGACACTGTTCGATCAAGCCATGTAGGTAGGTACAGACTAAATTTGGGTCCGCGAATATCTTAACTAATGGTCAAAGACTAGGTGACCTGTCTCAAATGGTTTGCTCAATTGCATCCACTCTTTGTCTTCTCTTAGATCCTAATTTTCTAAATTCCTCATAAATTATTTTCAATTACTTCAATTTATATTTTCTCAAATTGCGTCTTGGTTACTTAATCTTTTGTATTACCACATAATCTTACTACCTCTGTTACTCTGGGAATCGCCCTGTTCGGCGTTGCGTATGGCCGACTGACTGTGTGACTAACTACATAGAGAGCCTGGGGCGCCGTTCTTAATCGACCACGTCAAGTCTACATAGATCGAAATGTGGAGAAATTTGGTGTGATTATCTGTAGATGTACAGGAATCCACCATCGTCTCTATTTACTGCTAAGAAATACGAATTTGGTTTAGCATACAGAAGAGTTGGAAGCAATTAACACTCCAACTATTCCGTTGAAGGATGTCCAATACATTAACCGACCAAGCTCTGCTCACCAACAATATGATTATGATAAAGCTAGGGGCCTGGTGCAACCTCTCAATGTGAATGCACCTTCCCAAATTGACTGTCACTACTGCTAACGTTTCGGTAGATTTGCAAAGTTTCGTGGTTATAGTTCAAGTAAATCAGTTTTCCCACGCTTGTCTATTACTTTACTTGATATTCTCCAGCATCAGAAGTCCCCTCAAATAGAGGAACTATTGGGATCACCAAATATGTCAGCGGATACGAGGTCTGTATGGTCCATGGCTCACGTTTTTTGTCTTCTCAATGATCACAAAATCAACAGGCAATCACAAATTTACCTAAACGCTATGATAGTAACAATGTTCCCGTTTCTGCTGACCGGTGTAGTTTAGCGGTAGTTGTGACCTATGCATTGTCCGCTGAGCATTTTTTAAACTTTGTTCACCAGGTTCTCTGTTATCCACATGATTGTTATCATTTCATATGGTTTTCCTCCATAGACTTTTACAGCTATGTGAAGTAAAATATCGAACCACTTATAGGATATCCTTTAAGGCACATCATCCCCACAAATTATCATAACGCAGAGAGTTAAATCAAAGACTACCTGTTATGACCTTGATGTCTGGCCTTTCTACCACGCAAATTATCCACCAATCAGAATACGACTTATACAAATCTTCACTGTACCAACCAATGACGTTCAACCGGTGTGAGCAGTCTAGCGCCTTGTTGGTCCGAGGTCTTTCTAGCCCGTCTGCTTGAGTCCAAAAAAACACAATACCAGCTTCCCCAATATGAACTATGTATTTCAAACATACTCTTTATATACCAATCAGACAGACCACGACGTACCATAAAATAGAAAATAACATGTGCACACAAATAAGCCAAAAAGTGGCTGTGAACACGGGAGATAGTAATTAATAGACTGAACATAGATTAAGAACCGTAAATCGTATAGTAATAAATTATAGGTCAAAATAAAGCTTATAATAAGGGGAATATAAATACACATAATGTAATTATTGAATAATTATACAATAAGAATATTTATAGAATATTAGTCTATTGACAGTCCTCGGAAGTTACCTGTAACTATACTTCACTGGGTTATAACACTACCCGTTTTGGAATAAGTGCTTTCTAAATGAGAAAAGTAAGACACTGACAGTTTCATGATAAATAGCTGAAAAGCCATAGCTGTTAATCTATTGATGTAGTTACAAGTAATCTGTAGTGTTTTTCGACTACATGTGGTACTAAACTAGATACCCTAGTGAATTTTTCAAGCCGGTGACTGAAAACTTTCAGATCAATGTAATACAAATTCATGGTTTCACTCCAGATAAGATTAAATCTCTTTCCGTAGATTTTCTATTCAGTTGGTCGCTTGAGAGCACTACATGATACTAGTAATATAGTTCCAAAAATGTGTTTATTGTAAGAATTCATTTTTAGTTTGGATTTATTTTTCTAACACAAATCAACTTGTTTTTTACATTCATAGATCATGAAGATCCACAGTGGTGTTATGATAATTTCATAAATTTCCGCTCATTAAAATCTGCTGACAACGTTCGGGTACAATTATCACGTATTATGGATCGATTTTCTCTTCGTCGTTCAAGTACAGACTTCACTTCTCGAGATTATTACATTAACATTCGAAAAGCTTTGGTATCTGGCTTTTTCATGCAGGTATAGCAGAGAAAGTTCTTTGTTTCACTTTAATATATATCTTTTTACATAATTTATTTTTGTCGATAAAACTTTTTATTCATCCTTTCCGGAATGTTCTACATTAGTATGATTTCCTCACAGGACTAAATAAATACTGTACTTACAATTCAAACGAATGTTATTTAACATGCAAAACTTTATTTTCGATCATTTGTATCATCTGTTCAATTTACAATCCAATTATTCCCTTTTGTTTTGGTATTATTATTATTATCATTATTATTATTGTTACTAGTCTTCATAGTATCCTGGATTGTAACTAAATATATGCATAATCGTAGTCACTGCTAAATTTTTTTATTACTCGACTTCTGAAGCAAGATTAGTCAACTTAATTATTATTTATTCTCCCTCCCCAGGTTGCGCATCTTGAACGTACTGGACATTATTTAACCGTAAAAGACAACCAAGTGGTCCAGCTTCACCCCTCTACAGTAATGGATCACAAACCGGAATGGGTGTTATACAATGAGTTCGTCCTTACAACAAAGAATTATATACGTACAGTGACTGAAGTAAAACCAGATTGGTAAGATTTCTATAGTTTTCATATTCAGTTAACTTTTCTAAAACTCAGTGAAATGCAAATTATTCTTAGTCCACAAAGTGTATATTTTAACTATCATACTAACCTGTATGCTCATACACAACTAGTGAAAATTCTTCTGATTACCATTCATGCACACATAGCGCTCAACTTAATACATCATTACTTTGTTAGTTAAAACTGTATTTCAGTTACACTTTTATCGGTTTTTTACATGCATATATATTTTTTTAAGTAAAATCTGTGAAATGAATAGATAAGAAATTACTTTATTATGGTCAAAGGTGATTTTTTAATGAACTTTATTTTTTGAATGTAAATTCATTCATAAGTATGCCATTGCACATTGGTTTTGTTTGTTTCAGCATTTGAATAGAAACAGATGAGTTTATTTTAAAATACTTAAATGTGCAGTAAAATATGCTACAGAAATGTTGAATCGAATTAGTCAGCAAGAATTCTATCAATATAGAAATAAATTCCATTTTGATTGTTAATTTAAGGCGTAGCTATAAGGAGTGAATAGTATGTGGTTTCAGTTATAATTGCAATTATCCAATTGATTCCAAAAAATCACAACTGATTGATCACTGGGTAGTGTTCAATGTCGTGTGTGTTAGGTCCTCCTTAGTGCAGATGAAATTCTATCGACCAAGTTGCAATGTGGCCACTAATCTAGGTGGCTTGACATTGTGTGCACTATATGTCGAGATAAGATGATGACTAGAGGTTGTTAACAGGAAACCCTGAACCTGAATTTCGTGCTATTTTTGCACTTGTCAGCAAGGTGTACCTGTAATCTTGAGGGAACTGATGCTCCTTGGCGAATTCGATGTTTGTCACCCAGCTTCACAGTCAGAGACGTTACCACTGGGATATCGGGCCCGCGACTGACCTCTCGTAGGACTGAGATGTACTCACAATTGGTTGATCACTGGGTGGTGATTAATGTCAATATGTGTCAGGTCCTTCTTATTGTCGATTGAATCCTGTCGACCAAGTTGCAATGTGACCACTAATCTAGTTGACTCGATAATGCGTGTTGAGTACTTTAAAAAAACTTTCTACTATATCTTATTCTCTAATATTATCTCACAAAGTACTTACTGTATTGTCAGTACTTACCTTATTCCATGTTCTCTCCCCATGTAGGCTTGTGCGTATCGCTCCTCAATATTATGATATGTCTAATTTCCCTGATTGTGATGCTCGACGGATACTCGAACGAATTGTTCACAGGATTCAAAACCGTAAACTTCAACAAGAGCAAAAACAAAGCCAAGAGCCGAAATTACAAGCGCAAACTTGATTCATGTTCACACATTCAGATATCACCACTACTCTTGATTTATAAGATGTGAAGTAGTCTTGATAACCATCTTTGTATTTTTATTGACTTCCTCTGAATTACCCACATTCAATGAAAGAGGTCACTCCGCATTTCAAGTGCTGTTGTGTATATTTTATCAAGGCAACAATAAATAATATCCAGTTCATTTATTTCTTGTAATTTATTAATGCAAATTGAATGAAGATGGGTGATTTATTGTTTATACTAGTACAACAACCCGGGCAGTATCATAGCCCTCACACATATCAAATGAGATCTGTTTGGCTCATATGTATTTAATGCCTCCTTGTACCAATATCTATGTGTTAAAATAAAATAATTAATTGATTACCAGATCTCAGGCATGAATAAGAAACTCGAAAGTGTGTGTTTTTAGCAGTCAAGAATGTAGCAATATTTCAGCATGTGTGCAGTTATCATAAAGTGTAATCTACACAGCTTTTCAATATTACTCTACTACCCAATAAAAAGTGAATAGATGAATCTATAGTTAACGCTTGACATAGACGCCTATTGTCCATTTTATGGTTATATGTGGAAATAACAGTTGTCATATCTATCCAAACGTATTATTATGTTGACATTAAAATCCTAGTTTGTTGTCAACGAGTTTTAGTTTATCGTTGGGTCTTCAGGACTCACGATATTTGTTATTACTTCGTAGACATCTTTATTTCTTACGCCTGTTACTCCCAGTGAAACATAGGCCGACGACCGGCATTCTCTAACTCTGTCATGAGCCTTCATTTCTAGTTCTGTCCAATTGTTGTTCATTCTCATGTCCGTCTCCATTTCTTTGGTTTTGAGGATTCCAAGTGAGGGCTTGGCTTGTGACGCAGTTAGGTGTAAATAACTTGAGATCAAATTAAGAAAATGTGATAATCGAATAAAATATACCACTGAGTGATACGATTAAGTACAAACTAGTCTCATCTAATCAAATGTTATGGAGTTACTGATGTTGCTGACAGAATACGTCGTTATGACTGTTGATCAGCTTTCTATAGTCTCCCCTATACTGATTAAATCCCAATAGAATTTCACGATTTCCTTCAACATATTACAAGTCATTCCCGATTTCCTCTTCATTTGGGAGCTGCTTCGTTCTCTACCAAATAGTTTGGGTTCCATATGTTAATTTTTGAAATGATTTGCCACTTTGTGCGTGCATATTTGCAGCAGATCCTTCTTGTTCGCCGATATGCTGTCCGTGTGTGTGAAAGTCTCGATCTCATCCAGAGCTTCTCCATCAAATGTGATTGAATTTATGCTCTCTGTGTTGTATTTGAGGATCTTGCTTTATCTTTTGTGTATACTGAAGCCTACTGCTACAGAGGCTGCTAATGTGCTGGCTGTCTTGCTTCGTATTTGTCGGTGTTGCAGCCATAAAAATGTGACTGAGTCAAAACCAGATCATCCGGTTGTCGGGTCACTGAATACCTAACAGTTCATTGATCATCTCCAAGGCCAAGAATAACTACAGCGACTCACGTGCAATTGACTTTATTCTCATTTAACTCAGTTAAGCCCTTTTGCTAACTTATTTAGCGGACAAAATCATCCGCACGATGACAATTTATTGTACCCTTATTATTTTGTGCTTGTGTGAAGTACGTATGGTTGAATATTGCTTACTGCCTACGCATTTATTCACTCTGCTAGTCTTACTGCTAACCGCTTATTTGATTCGATGACTGATTCATTTCACTAGGTATATATGTCCATGTTATTCATATTCATTACACTCGATCGCTTGATTGTACTCTCTTATCCATATTCGCTCGATCGCTTGCTTGCCTTTCGGCACAACTCTTCTATGCTCGTTTGACTCATCTGTACATTTGGATATGTGTGGTTTCGTAATAAACGTAATAAACGTTTCGTAGTCGCCTTCTGATTAATATACCGTTGGGGCGTTATATAGAACGGTTATGAAGACGAACTGTATACGAAATTTAAGGATTATATTGAATAACGACCATCATATAACCAACGCACATTAATTAATCGCACGCCATAGTCTAGCCCATGAGATGGTGGTTGCAATCTCTTCCTTGTGCCTTCTCATACTAATATATTTCTGAGATGGAGTCCTTTGTGTTGTACCGTCTTCAGAACAGCCATGGCACCATGATACGACGGAAGGATAATCCACGCGAGGTGTGATTTCGAAGTTAGTTGGCTCGTCACACCACTCCCGTCTAACCCGAGTAGGCTTCCGTTCATTAGACATAGATCATCTACATTAGTGATCCCCAGTGTATATAGGATGGAAGAGCTAGGTTGTCTGCGTAATCCAAATAGTCTGTCTGCATCCAAGCTGTCCTGGACGAGGTTGCTGGTACTGTATACAACCCTCCTTGTTTATCTGGGCTCGAGTCTGGCAGTAGCCATAGAAAGGCTGTCATCGTATCAAACTCAAACCTATATTTACTTATCGGTGACACGGCTAATTTATTACAAGATAACTATGAGAAGTTAATTGTCAGTTGATGTACAAACAGTATACTACATGTGTACTTATGTAAACGAGGTACGTTCGATAGTGTCATTGCTTTTGCAGATGCTACGATTTTTCACGATTCGGTTGCTGTCTTCAGACTATCCTTTCTACTATATAGTTTAGTGATTATTCTCGTGAATAGCTCACTTGGCATGAGACTTAGGACTATGTTTTCGAATAAGCGTAACCTTTACATCTTTCTTTTTTAATATACATTACTGGATTAGAAGAAACAGTAACAATACAGAAACGTAATGAAGATATGCGATATAAAATGAACGGCCCATGTGGTGGCACCAAGAAAAATGAAGCCTGTGAAAATTGGTTATATGATCATGATATTAACAGCTTTCTCTTCATGCCACTAGCAGTGTCTTTTGTAAAAGTGTAGATATAACACTAGATATAGAAAATAGTAAACGGAGTAGCCTGTGACTTTAAACACCTTCTTTGAAAATCAACAAACGTGCTGCTAAGTTGATCCTTAATTTAATGCTTTTTTTAACAACGACAAGTGTGCCAATGGTTAAACGATAATAGAACAAATAATTACCTTGAAAATTTGGCTATTCAGCATCATAGAACCTCTTACTAAGGACGAAGGATCAGAGGTTTCCAGTCAGTGGTGTGTGTTACTTGTCGATAAATATAAGTAGTGTATACCATCAATCAAAAGTGAAATGCTTGGAGGCAGAACGTTAAGGAAATTAAAGAAGTAGAACGAGGACAAAGAACAATTGATGTGTAAACGAAAGAACAATGAAGTCTGAGACGATTGATTGACATTTTGCAAATGAAGTATTTACTGTAGGGCTTTCAGATTTTACTAAGATGTTCCGTAATTTCATATTCAAATACATTTGATTGCTCACACTTGTTTTTTCGTCTTAAAACATGTAACACGGTTGGACAATCGGAAACCCATCTGCTGTTCATTATAGTTATCATTTATAAAAGATGTAGATCTTGATGGAATTCGTGGTGAAAGCCACACAAGCGCCGACCAGTAAAGCACCGGTCCTACTCTCATCAAACTCATAAGAAATAACTAGGTCGTATTAGCACGTAACTAACCCTGGTATGATTACTAAAATAAGGTCAGTCGAGACGAGAATGCTTGGAATAAAATAGTCCATCCAGACAATTTTTATCGATAGCGAAAATGACAGATCTGATAAGTCTTAAGAAATTCGACGGATGTCATGTTTGGCAGTGAGGTATATATCGTCCATTCGTCTAGATTTTGTATTGACTCTTTATAACATCTGAGCAAATTCACTGTCATATGAAGTGTTAAAAGCAATCAGAAAACCACTGGACAGACTGTTAGCGGGACATAGACTGGATTAAAGCATGTTCAATGCACAATTGCTTTGCTGCACGCTGATTGGCTAATTCTTATCCAATCAGCACTAGTCGATAGTTGGAGAATACTTTAGAATCTTCTCATGCAAAAAACATAAATATACTAACGTTTTCCCTATTGTGCTTCTTACTTCCATCTAACCTTGTCATTTAGAATATATTCTCTTTCCTTTTCAACCGTGTTCTGATTTGGGGACTTGTCGAGTGAATCGGTGTCCGAGAATACTAGGCAATAGGAATAGCTGGGGTCATAACCGTAAGAAACAGATTATAACAATGGCGATGGGGAAAAATGAAAACAAATTCAAGATGCCCACTTCAGATGACCAGCTCGACCGAATACTACAACAACAGCAAGCACGATTAGATGCAAAAATGCGACTGTTGCAGACTCTCACTCGACATTTGAAATCAGCCGAGCCCAAATCTCTTTCGCTGGTATCTGCCTTTCAAACAAACTACGACATTCGAAGAAAGTATGTTACCATCCGGATAAACGGCACATCAGCTCGTCTTCAAATTGACACGGCATCAGGTATCACGTTAGTGTGTAGTGACTTACTTTTATCACGAGAACACGATTGGATTTATAAAAACAATTATTATAACCAATTGTACCAACGACTGTTTTAATGTGCTCTTTGTTTAACTGTGCTTAAAACGTCCATTATACTTGCTTCGAATCCGGTTACGCTCAGTAACCAAGCTTGTATCCTGGCACGATCTCGGTAATCTTTCGATACCACGAGATCGCCAGCAAATATATCTCGACTTGGTCCATTAACTGCCTTCTGATATTTGGCTTCCGGGGGATTTTATGGATATCCTGGCACGCGTTCCTTTGTAGTGGTGTTCATTGTCAATCGCGACTCGACACCTCGCTACAAGTGTCTGGAGAAACGTGTAACTTACTGGGCAAACCGCCAATGAAGCCATCTAAGAAAACGGCTAAAAACGCACCAGGTGGTGTGCTAAAACTGGTTGATGAATTACAGTGTGAATCTTCCTTCAATGAAACTAGCTGTACAGGAATATAATACCTAACAGAACGGCCGAACCTTGATCTTCTTATTCTAGATATGTTAGATAAACTTGGAATAATGGATATACCAATTAAGAGTGTCTGTAACGTATCGTGTTCATCATTGGACACCCCAGTACTTCCAAAAAAGATAGATGAAAGGTTACTAAAAAAACTGAAAAGAAAATTTGCCTCTGTTTTCAGAACAGCCTTGGCCGTGGTACCAAGATGAAAGCTCACTTGCCATTGAAGCCAGATGCCAAACCTATTTTTCGTCCGAGACGTCCTGTACCATACGCTGCTCTTGAGCTAGTCGATCAGGAACTTAATCGCCTGCAACAGGTTGGTGTAATCCAACCAGTCAACTACTCTGCATGGGCCGCACCAAGCGTAGTGATTAAGAAGGCCAATGGGACTACGCGCATCTGTGCCGATTTCTCGACACGTTTAAATGCTGCGTTAGATGTATATAAATATCAGTTACCAGTTCCTGAAGACCTGTTTGCCAAGCTTAATGGTGGGACATGTTTCGCGAAAATAGACTTCTCCGATGCTTATCTCCGAGTGGAATTAGATGAAAATCGTGGAGAGCTTCTGACCATTAACACTCATCGAGGGTTATTTCAATACATCCGTCTACCACTTGGCATCACGACCGCACCTGCCATCTTTCAGCAAATAATGGATACGATGCTAACAGGTATACGTGGTACAACAGCTTATCTAGATGATATCACATTTATGGGTTCAACTGACAGTGAACTTTCTGATCGACTACATCGAGTTTATTAACCGAATGTTGGAGTATGATTTCCAACTACGTGAGGAAAAATGTATCTTCTTCATGCATTCAATCAAATTCTATGATTTTATCTTAGATAAGAATGGTCGACAACCAGACTCTGCCAACATCGAAGCCATTCAGAAGATGCCTGCACCAACTGATGTTTCTTCATTAAGATTCTTCTTGAGGTTAACCAGTCATTACAACACATTCTTACCTGAAATGCATCGAGTGAGAGGTCTCCTAAATGAATTACTATCAAAAGATAAACCTTGGCAGTGGTCAGCAGAATGTCAAGCTTCTTTTGACAAAGTCAAATCAATGCTCAGCTCAAAGATTCTTTTGACGCACTTCGATCACAGATTGGAAATTGTTGTTGCATCTGATGCCTCCAGTAATGAAGTTGGAGCAGTGATATCTCACGTGTCATGTGCAGTTTTAGGATTAGGTCTTATATTAGAGCTGTACTAATGTCATATTAGACCATAATTCTACATTGGTAAGCCCGACTAAAGAAACGCGACCTATTATTGTTAATTTGTATTTCCACTTTAACTTCCTCGACCGACTATATTTGTGTATACCCATTATTCTAATAGTCTCCATAGTAGACCATAATTCTACAAACTCATGATATTGGCAGTGGTCTAACGTTCATTATCATCACCACTGCTTTCCAACTATATATATAATCTTTTGTCAGCCCCGTAAATCTTTATTCTTCAAGATATTAAACCTAACCGTTAGTTTTTAATATGGCGTTCAAGTTCGCACTAGATTACGTTACCTCAATATTTTACGAACTTTGAATTAAGTACAGTCATACTTGAAAAGCGATTTACATACAGCGTCATTGCTAAATCTGATAAAGCTATACGTTATTATGTTGACAAATGGATCAGCGGTTGTATATACCCCAAATTCCGTTTCTTTATACGGTTGTGAATTTCAGTGGTGGTTACATCAGAAAATCGTACGCCTCAGATTAAAAACCTTATCATTACTTTTGTATGACATAGTGGAGAAATGGAGTTTACTCACGCCATACGTACTGAATTAGTATTATTAACTGTATGTTGTTTCGGAATTACGATTTGCATAATTAGTATGTCCTTCACACTGTCGTAAAGTACATGTTTGTTTTATCTTCCACAGTTTGATTTCTAGAGTTTTGGCTGTGAATTCTCTAAAACAACAGGTGTTTTAAATATTCGAC